TTCTGGCCACGAATTTCTACCGGGGCGATTCGATAAGTTGACACTGTGTTGGGACTCTTAAGACGCTTAAGAGTCCCACTACTCGCAATTCACTACTAAGCACGTGTGCAACACAGACAACAGTCGGCGATCAATTAAAACACGTCGCACCCGCAAACGAACTTCCACAGTGGAAAACTGGAATTTCCCGCATCGGAAATTCCGATTATTTATTCATCAATTTTGTTGCAACAAAACCGGCCAATCGCGTCCACGTTTCATTGATCGGCCGACGCTCGCCATTCATAAACCGCAACGAGCGATTTGGTGATACGTTCAAGGTTACAACATTGTTGTCTGATCGATCGGTTTTCCCCATTTTTTTTGGAAGGGAATTTTTGGGGAGGAGGGCTGATGAGACGAAATTGCTGAGCAACGATTCAACTAGATCGTTTGCCGAACCATTCTCCTCCATATTACCCCAATTGCATCACCAGGACGTTTGCGGGACGTCTTTGGGACGTTTGAGGCGCGTGCACTGGACGTTACGAATTTTGTGGTATTTGCCCGATTCTTTCTGCAATTGAGACTGTTTATGTACTGCAAGGGCCGAAATCTGCTCAAATGGGACTTCTTAGAGAAAATTGTCTGGGCTCCGAAGCTTCAGACCTGCAACTTTTCCCACCAGTTATTTACATCAATCGTTTCCCAGCTCATTTTCCCCCAGATTACCTGAATTACGTCAATATTACCGATCTGGGACGTCTTTAGCGCGTTGAAAAGACGTGCACGGGACGTTGAACATTTTTGAAACGTTATATTTAACAAATCTTGGGAGAAAAACCAACCTGAGACTACGGGAATATTAAATGTACGTTAGTTGGACGTCAAAGGTCCGTTGTTTTAATTAACACAATCCCCTAATTTTTATTTTCGAAAAATCAGCAACCAAAAAACTGCATGGAATATTCGAAGTACATGAAATGGACGTGAATTTAACGTTATTTAAGGAGTCAGAATCAATTAGGCATTAGGGAATCAGAATCTTCTCAGCCGCAAGTTTAATGAGCAATCAGCTTTTACTCAAACGTTTTCAAGTAAACTTTCTACCAAACCTGTGGAAACTATGTCATTAGTACGTCTTTGGAACGTTACAAGTTTTAGTGGTTTTTTCTAAGAAGTTTTGGAAGCAAAACTGACTTGGAACTACAAATACATTAGATGTACTTTAGATGGACGTCAAAAGTATTACGTCTAAAGGACGTCTATTTAACGTACTTTTTTCGTTTGCTGCTTCTAAATTGGCAACAGACAATTTTCTTATGAAAACCAAAGTTCATAGCGCCATTGCAGATGCAAATGATCGAGCGAAATGTTCGCAAACGTTCGCGAACATTCGCGCCAGTTTAAAGGGTACATTTGCGAGCCCTGATGGCCAAAAACCGCTTTTCCCCGTTCCGATTTTTCCGGGTTTTTCGTCCTGCCATCGATCACGTGCAATTAGGCAAAGTTTGCGTGAAAATAACGAACAAACATTGACGATTAGTGGCAAATGGTCGAGCCGACTAATTTTTGCTGGACCGTAGTGATAATTTCGTGCAAATATCGCATCCATTGCTGACGCTGCGGCCGAATTCTCCGGCGATTTTCCGCTGAAAATACGCTTGAAACAACCAGATATTTGAATGTTTTTGTGCTTTTGTGGATTCTCGGGAATATTTTTCTGAAGGAAGTGCAGGTTTTGTGTGGAAATTCGCCAAGCGAACACGAACAAACAACGGCGAACGCAACAAACGGAAACGAACATTAACCGATTTTATCGTGCACGAGAAAATTTGGCTTTGAACTGTTGCTTCTTACCTGTAAAATACTGATAAATGCAAAAAATACAACAAATTTGAACGAACAGAACGAAGTCAAACGCATCTTCGGTTCTTTCTGGTGATTTGCTGTCGCGAGTCTGAAATTTATCTTCTGAAGTTACCTAATTGAATAAAATCGGGTCCCGGAAGGCTGCAACGATCTAATTTCCGGAATTTATCTGAAGGATTTTTCGTTGTCCAGAAAAACATCCAGAAACACATTTTGCAAAAAAAACGACAAAAGTACGTTAAATAGACGTCAATTTTCGTACTTCCAATGTTTAAAGAGTTTGTTTTTGGTGCTGATATTTGGAAAATAACTAATAAGTAAATACATTAATTCAAACAACTATTGACGTCCATCTAATGTACATTTAATGTTGATCTCGTAATCCCAAGTGTTTTTTGCGCCCAAAATTTGTTAAATGTAATTTTGCGCAAAAACTCCCAAAACTTGAAACGTCCGTGTAACGTTCCACAGACGTACTAATGACGTAATTTCGTTAAATTTGGTAGAAAGTGGACTTGAAAACGTTTGAGTAAAAGCAGGGTAAATTTATTGTACGCTCAGTTCCAGGCTCAGAACATTCTGAGTCAAAACCGAAATTCGAAAATTCGTTTAACTTCGTTCTGTTCGTTCAAATTTGTTGTCTTTTTTTGCATTAACCAGTAGTTTTTTTTAGGTCAAAAGACGTCGTTAAAATCGATTGCAACAAAGTGCCATAAATAAGGAATGCACGAACGAAGCACGAGGTGGCAGGACGATCGTTAAATAATATACATTTTAAGCGCCCGGTTTAATTAACTGGCCAATAAAAACGCTCACTTTACGAGCGAATATTTAATGAGCCATAATTTCGGCATTTTATCTTTTACCTTTTCTGCCATTAAGTCGCTATTGGACCACTGGATTAATCTTTTCCGTTCGCACAAATTCACCGAATTTTTTCCATTTTTCGTTTTCGGACGTTTTCTTGCGTTTCGGTGTTCGTGAATGTTCGCCAGTGTTCGGCACAAATGTTCGCGGATGTTCGCCAAAGTTTTTTTTTATCCTGTGGGGTTGAAAGAACGAAAATGTTGGCCAAAAAATTGAAACAATGTTTGGCTCCAACTGTTTTTGATTGGAGTTCAGGACGAGCCAAAAAAGATGAGAAAAGAGGAAACGCTACGGAAGAAACATGAAAAGTTGTCGGTCCCATGTGAAAAAATCCTAAATTTTTCATTATCTTCCTCACTAGGGATATTATCTTCCACGCGGAGCAATGCGTTTTTCCTCAATGGCTTGCTTATTAGTGGTTTTGGGGCAAAAGTCCATAGAAGCTTTTTTATGGCCATCGAGCCCCTCGATCTAGTGGCGCGCTCGAAATTTACACAGGATTTTTGCTTCGGGAGATATCGGCATTCTTAGCAAACAGCGCTGTTGCCATTTCCTCGAAAGTCTTCCAAGTCGCAATTCGGGAAAAAATCCCACTCGATGCCCCAGAAAAGGGCGCAAATGTCATCAAGACCGAGTTTTTCGCCCGGTTTTTAACAACACAGTGGTTTGGACCGGCAAAAAAGTGGGCCAAAACTAAAAAACTGTTTCACCTGGTGAAACAATGCAAAAAAGTCAATGGGAGCGCGTTTTTGGCCATTGGCCTCCTCTATCCAGTGGTCCTCTTGGATTTTTCCTGCGATTCACACTTTTGGAGATTTCGACATTTGAAACGAAACAGCGCTTTTTTTAATTTTCAGCGAAGGAATTGGGGAAAAATCATCAAAAGAATGCAAATTGTTCATTAAAAAATCACAATCAAACGCAGGAAAGTGCAATAAGCGGACCAAAAATGGCAAAAGCCCAACACTACGGGGGAACGATGAAAAGTTTCCGATTTCCACGCGGAGCAATGCGTTTTTCCTCAATGGCTTGCTTATTAGTGGTTTTGGGGCAAAAGTCCATAGAAGCTTTTTGATGGCCATCGGGCCCCTCGATCTAGTGGCGCGCTCGAAATTTACACAGGATTTTTGGTTTGGGAGATATCGCCATTCTGAGCAAACAGCGCTGTTGCCATTTCCTCGAAAGTCTTCCAAGGCGCAATTCGGGAAAAAGTCCCACTCGGTGCCCGAGAAAAGGGCGGAAACGTCACCAAGACCGAGTTTTTCGTCCGGTTTTTGTGAACACAGTGGTTTGGACCGGCAAAAAAAGTGGGCCAAAACCAAAAAACTGTTTCAACTGGTGAAACAATGCAAAAAAATTACTCGGTCAAACAGACTCAGATGGCCGGAAAACGTGAAGGAGAGACACTACGGGGGCATCTCGGAAAGTTCTCCAGCCCCCGGCAAGCAAATGCAACATTTGCCAACAGCTCCCTTATTGGTCGCTTTAGGGCCAAAGTCAATGGGAGCGCGTTCTTGGCCATTGGCCTCCTCTATTCAGTGATGCTCTTGGATTTTTCCTGCGATTCACACTTTTGAAGATTTCGACATTTGAAACGAAACAGCGCTTTTTTTCATTTTCAGCGAAGAAATTGGGTAAAAATCAGCAAAGGAATGCAAATTTTTCATTAAAAAATCACAATCAAACGCAGGAACGTGCAATAAGCGAGCCAAAAATGGCAAAAGCCCATCACTACAGGGGAACGATGAAAAGTTTCCGATTTCGACGGGGAGCAATGCGTTTTTCCTCAATGGCTTGCTTATTAGTGGTTTTGGCGCAAAAGTCCATAGAAGCTTTTTTATGGCCATCGGGCCCCTCGATCTAGTGGCGTGCTCGAAATTTACACAGAATTTTTGTTTTGGCAGATATCGGCAATCTTAGCAAACAGCGCTGTTGCCATTTCCTCGAAAGTCTTCAAAGGCGCAATTCGGGAAAAAATCCCACTCGATGCCCCAGAAAAGGGCGCAAATGTGATCAAGACCGAGTTTTTCGCCCGGTTTTTAACAACACAGTGGTTTGGACCGGCAAAAAAAGTGGGCCAAAACCAAAAAAATAAAAATTGTGCTCCAAGTGAACAAGTGGAAACCATGTAGTCTGCCGGCGAAAAAACGGGATTCATCGGTTTTCCACGGATTTTTGACGGCAGCACGACGCACGGCCCTGCCCGATCTCTCCTTCTTGGCGCGCAGCTTTTCGAGCGGCGTTTTTAAGGGGGAGAGCGGAGAGCGGCCGAGCAGGAGCCGGAGGAGGAGGGCGAGAGTTCGAAACCGTCGACTCGAAGAGTTTGCGTCGCGTATTCCTTCCCGATCTTCCTGCACGTTTCGATCGCGCGCCCGAAACCATCAGCCGCCCGCTCCAGTCGAACACGCACCGAAACGTCGGCACGACGCGAACCCGACTGAACGTGTCGAGAGCCGCATTTTGCGCCGCTCGCTCGAACCCGTGCGCGTTTCAACCCGTTTCCTGAGGCGTCGTTGCGCGTCGCTTGGTGGGTGCCGCCGCGCGTTCTGTGCCTTTCGACGTGTTGTGACACGTTGCTGGATTATTCTGGATTCGAGTCTACGTCGTCGTCCCCAAACAGCCACAACGCTGGAACATTTAAAGCCGATTGTGGCTTCGATCACGACTCTCATCGGGAATTGTGATAGCATGGAAGCCACCTACTGCGTCGGTAGTGATATTGACGTTTGCAGGATGTTCGACCAGTACTTATACAAGGTACCGATCCCTTTTCCCTTTAAACGGGCCAATTTTCCGGCCGGGACGCGCTCTTGTAGGCCGCTTGCCGTCGGCCACTAGTTGGCCGGTGCATTTTGGCTAAAACTCCTCTGGTGGAGTGAGTGGCGCGACCGACCTCACTAAATCTGACTTTGTGGGCCAGTCACCCGCTTGGTTGCCCCATGATTGGGAAATTTTCTGTTGCGGGTTCTGAGGGCCACTCTGTGCTCTTTACGGGGCTTTTGGAATTGTTAAATTCCGGCCACTGGTGAGGAAGTTATGGGCGAAACAAGGCGGCCCTCACTAAATCGGCCCAGGAGTTATTTGCAAAATAACTCGTTTAGTTACACGATGATTTAAAAGTCTTGTTTGGATCATTTGTAGGCTGTGTTGTGCTCTTTAAAGGAGTTTTGGAATTTTCAAATTCCGGCTACGAACAGGGAAGTTACGAGTTGCAAGCCTCACTAAATTGGCCCAGGAGTTATTTGTCGATAACTCGCTTAGTTGCTTGTCGATTTAAAAAATTTGTGCGGATATTCGAAGGTTGTTTTGTGCTCTTTCAAGGGGTTTTTTAATTTTCAAAATCCGGGCAGGAGTGAGAAAGTTATGGGCGAAACAAGGCGGCCCTCACTAAACTGGCTGGACGGGCGCCGCTGAATGTTTTCCGGAAAAGCTCAAACTTAAGCGATTTGCATCAAGTTTATGTCGATTATTGGCAGTTTCCACTGCAGTTTCTGCTTGTTCTCACCAAGTGAGACTGGAAGTGCGCCCGGAAGTTAGTTGCCAAGTTCACCCCCTCACTAAATTCCGGAATCCGCAGTTTGAGTTTGTCTCCAAGTCGATTATTTCGCGACGGATTTGCAACCGTGGGACCATTTTATGAAGCGTGTTTCTTCCTCTTTTGTGTACCTTTGGAATTTTTCAAATTGCTTGAGAAGTGAGGAAGTTGTGACGGAAAAACTGTCCGCCTCACTGGCATCTCTGACCCTCGAAGTTTTCGGTCGATTTCAAGCGTTTATTATGATCTCTGGACCTTTTTCTTCAAAACAAATTTTCAATTTCGAAAATCGAGCCAAAAGTAAGGAAGTTGCGAAAGCAGCAAATCTAGCCTCACTAAATCGTCCCAGGAGTTATTTGAAAATAACTCGCTTATTTGCAGGTCGATTTAAAAAATTAGTTCGGATGTTCGAAGGTTGTTTTGTGCTCTTTCAAGGGGTTTTTAAATTTTGAAATTCCGGCCAGGGGTGAGGAAGTTATGGGCGAAACAAGGCGGCCCTCACTAAACTGGCTGGACGGGCGCCGCTGAATGTTTTCCGGAAAAGCGCAACTTAAGCGATTTGCATCAAGTTTTCGTCGATTATCGGCAGGTTCCACTGCAGTTTCTGTTGGTCCTCACCAAGTGAGGCTGGAAGTGCGCCCGGAAGTTCGTTGCCAAATTCACCTCCTCACTAAATTCCGGAATCCGCAGTTTGCGTTTGTCTCCAAGTTGAACATTTCTAGACGGATTTGCAACACTGACCCCATTTTATAAAGCGTATTTCTTCCTCTTTCGTGGACATTTGGAATTTTTCAAATTGGTTGAGAAGTGAGGAAGTTGTGAGGGAAAAACCGTCCGCCTCACTGGCATCTCTGACCCTCAAAGTTCTCGGTCGATTTCAAACGATTATTAAGATCTCTGGATCTTTTTCTTTAAAAGGAATTTATAATTTTGAAAATCGAGCCAAAAGTAAGGAAGTTACGAAAGCAGCAAATCTAGCCTCACTAAATCGTCCCAGGAGTTACTGGCCAATAACTCGCTTAGTTGCGTGTCGATTTAAAAAATTAGTTTGGATGTTCGAAGGATGTTTTGTGCTCTTTCAAGGGGTTTTTTAATTTTCAAATTGCGGCCAGGAGTGAGGAAGTTATGGGCGAAACAAGGCGGCCCTCACTAAACTGGCTGGACGGGCGCCGCTAAATGTTTTCCGGAAAAGCGCAACTTAAACGATTTGCATCAAGTTTTCGTCGATTATCGGCAGGTTCCACTGCAGTTTCTGTTGGTCCTCACCAAGTGAGGCTGGAAGTGCACCCGGAAGTTAGTTGCCAAATTCACCCCCTCACTAAATTCCGGAATCCGCAGTTTGAGTTTGCCTCCAAGTCGAACATTTCTAGACTGATTTGCAACACTGAAGCCATTTTATAAAGCGTATTTCTTCCTCTTTTGTGGACATTTGGAATTTTTCAAATTGGTTGAGAAGTGAGGAAGTTGTGAGGGAAAAACCGTCCGCCTCACTGGCATCTCTGACCCTCAAAGTTCTCGGTCGATTTCAAACGTTTATAATCATCTCCGGACCTTTTCCTTTAAAAGGTATTTTCAATTTCGAAAACCGAGCCAAAAGTAAGGAAGTTACGAAAGCAGCAAATCAGGCCTCACTAAATCGGCCTAGGAGTTATTTGCCGATAACTCGCTTAGTTGCGTGTCGATTCAAAAATTCTGTTCGGATGGTTTGAAGGTTGTTTTGTGCTCTTTCAAGGGGTTTTTTAATTTTCAAGTTCCTACAACGAACAAGGAAGTTAGGAGCGAACGAGTTGCAAGCCTCACTAAATTGGCCCAGGAGTTATTGACCAATAACTCGCTAAGTTGCGTGTCGATTTAAAAATTTTGTTCGCATGGTTTGGAAGTTGTTTTGTGCTCTTTCAAGGGTTTTTTTAATTTTCAAATTCCGGCCAGGAGTGAGGAAGTTATGG